CAGGATGACAGCATAAATCACCATGGCGATCCCAGAGGAACGACATTGCTGGGTGATCTTTCCTCCTGACTCCAAGTGTGCATTGCATGTGGTTGGGATAGACACCCATGTTTCTCTCACCACCAGGGAACTTCTTCCTGCTGTACCATGGACAGAAGCTCCCAGGACTCTCCCTCAGCTTCTTTCTCACCATCACCTGCCAAGGGACTCAGTGGTGGTGCCCAGAGCTGACACAATAATCTCAATGAGAAAGGGCTCAGAGAATGAGCAGCTTTATATCCAGGTGTTGTCTCTATAACGCTCTGAAAGAGCCAAATTAATGAAAGGACTTTAATATATCACCTACCCTAAATGACGAAATTGGTGGCCAGGAAAACATCTTCTCAATGGAAAAGAAAATCTTAGCAACAGTTGCAGTAAATCTTTTACTTGCTGAAATACTATAAAAGGTAAGTTACACACACACACACACACACACACAGGAGCTATACCAGGTTATCACCCATCATAATAATTATCAGACTCGAAATTACCATATTTTATATAAATATTATTTCCTATCCCAAAATTGAACAGAACAACTCAGCAGCCAAAACTGCTGGTATGAGCTGGAGAAATGGAATAAAGCTCCCTATCTGGAGAAACATTGTGGGTTGCAGAAATATCTGGGTGGGAAATTGCACAAACTTATCTTAAAAACCTTTTGTTTCTGAGCTGCTATCTTATTTCCTCTATGAAAAATGTAAAATTCTAGGCATCACTACTGTGATTTTCTTCTCTATTCAAGTGTGATAGCTGCTGAAGGATTTAATCTACCTTTGATTTGATTTTTTATGTTGTATTTTTTTAAAAGTAAAATGGAAATGATAACAAAGGTCAAAAGATTTATTAATCTAGACACAAGAATAACCAGACTAAAAGCCAAGAAGCAAATGTGTCTACTAGGTATTGATAGACTGAATTATCTTCAACAATATTGTTATCCTTTATATTCAAAAATTAAATGTGTTTCAGACACTGCTTATTGTGTCCAACTGTGTCTAAATAAAATTTTACAATAAGCTGTTATTAGCCCCTATTTGGCATACTGTAGAAATATTCTTTAATTGTACCAAAAATAATTAAATGCATATTTATATAGAAATCTCCCCAAATGTAATATATTTATAGAAGTTAAAGAACCTATGATTTTTGTCTTTATTTTACTGAGCCATTGTTCTCAGAGATACACTGCCCGTGTAACTCATCCCTCACATAGGCTCATAGTATGTAAAGTTCATAATGTGACACATGTATCTTCAAGCCTACTTCTTGGGTTATTTTACCTTCATATGAAGTAGTTTCTGCAGAGCTATTAATCATAGTATGTCTTCTTATTAACACCAATTAAAAGTCTGAAATTTAGCAGGATCATGCTTCCTTTGGGGACTCTAGGGGAGAACATGTTCCTTGCCTCTTCCAAATTCTCATGAGTGTCAGCATTCCTCGGTTTCTGTTCATATCTCTCTGCCCCACCTTTACCTCTATTTGCCTCTGTGTACTTTCTCCAGTTTATTACAAATCTTCTCACTATGTCATAAGGACACTTTTTATTATAATTAGAGCTCACCCACATAATTGAAGATTATCTCATTTCAAGATTTTTTAATGAATCATATCTGCAAACGCCCTCTTTCCAGATAAGCCACCATTTACAGGTGTGGAGGATTAGAACGAGGACATATCTTTTTTGGAGGTCACCATCCAATTTACTACAGGTATCAGTCCATTTAATTATGGTCATTTTATTTACAGATGTAGTACAGTTCATATCATTATGCTTATTTAAACATGTTCCTTACAAATAGTTTTTAATTATTTTAAATTTTGAAATAATCAAATTGTAACAAAGTAACTACACACATTAAAACTCAGGTTATGCTTGAACTTTGTAGAGTATTAATTTCCATTTAATGTATTTTTTTTTTTTTTTTTTTTTTTTTGTATGCAGTATTAAGCTGAGTTAAGAAGAGACCAATGGAAGTTGATTTGGACAGGATTTCACCAAAGCATTAAAAGCAGATCAATGCTCCTCTGGCACCTCACGTAAAAGTAGCAGAGACAGAAGTGGAACAACCATGTGGGAAAGGTAAACCTAGGATTGCAGAATCATGACTGGTAATTTAGACACCCCTTCCCATTGTCTGATTCTTATAGGATAAACCTTAATATATCTGGGTTTCTTGCTTGTTTGATTCTCAGATAAGTAGAGATAATGAGATACCTATACATAAACATATAGTTACGTTTTTTGATTAATTTGACATGGCATTTCTAAGTCTCAGTATTTACTGTTAGGATTTCATGTAGCAACAAAACAAACAAACAATGACAACAACAAATATGTGTGTGTTTGTATGTGTTTGTGTATATGTATATAATTTAATTGCTGAAGAATTACATGAGGGTACCTTAAAAAGTTCATGGAAAGATTTGTATTGTCCTTTAATTCTATTTTTCCAGGAACTTTTGGATGTACCCTTCTATTGCACACAAGCTAATGATGTGATAACAAATTAAATAGATTATAATATTTGTATTTAAGGAAATAATAAGCAGCTGTTGAAAGTATGTTGCAAAGAAATATTTTGATATGGAAACTTGTTCATGATATATTTCTAAATGACAGAAAGATTAAAACAATCAATACTGTTCATATTATTTTTAATTTATTTTATATATATGAAAATAGATTTAGAATAAAAATGTGTGAGCACTTATATTACTAACAATGATTGCTATTGAATGTTTTCTCATTAGTTTTCTAATCAGAGTTTCATAATGCTTTTCTAAGAAGCTTTTAAAACGAGATGTCATGATCTCATACAAGTTAGGAACCACCGTATTAACACAATGAACCACACTCTTGAAATGTTAATCTCTAAATCTAAAATGTTCAAGAGTGTGATTTTCTAAGTAAGAAATAAAGCAAGAAAATAGTATAAAACAGATAATTAATAAGGTGTTAGAATTAAAAAGACATTTTTAAATAAAAATAAAATAATATATAACATCAGGACCAATTTCTTTGATACTAATAATTTATTGAAAGAGATTGATTTCCTAAAGAAAGCCAGTTAAGTTATATTCAGTTTTCAGAAGTAATCTTGAGAATATATTGTCCCTTTGTAACAATTTTTATATTTTCCCAAGTTATACATTCATACTTTTAAATGAAGATACCAGAAGTTCATGATATTCTTTTGACAAAATCTTGATGAAATATAAATATTAATAATAAAAATATAAATTATTAAAAGTTCAAAAAGATATTGGTTTATAAATATGACTCTTAATTAAAAGTAAACAGACTTCTTTGTAGACATAGCTGTTTTGTGGCTAAAGTTAGGAATATACAAGATGAGCTTGAAACATCTGAGCCTATCAGAAGTAAACGAAAATGCTCAAAAATGGTGAGAAGATGCTAAAAGGACAGAGAAGCAAGCTTGGAGGGTCCATATAAAGAAAAGTTAAGGTGGAGCACGTGGAGAGGAATGGGTAAAGGGACATGAAAATCAACTAAAATGTACATTGAGAAGTAAAATAAATATTAAAAATAAAATAAAATAATAAAAACAATGATAACACAAAACCATTGGAAAAAATTTTAGGATCCATAGTGATGGACGAATAGATAGATAGATAGATAGATAGATAGATAGATAGATAGATGATAGATAGATAGAAAGAAAGAAAGAAGGATGATGGATGGACAGATGGATGGATGATGGATGGATGGATAGAGAGATAGAGGGATGGAGGATGTATTTCTTCATTTTAAAATTGCCAACTAATAAATGTAAAACCAGTGGTTTGTAAGGAGAATGTATTTGCAATGATCATTACTAATACTTGACTCAGACAAGATAATCAATCAATGCTAAAACTAGTGACTAGTTCCATAATGAAACAAGATATTTGTATAATAAGCTTAATGGATGAATCAGAAATTAATTAGGGAAAATAATAATTACATAATGGAGATAATTGGGAGGCACAATCTTTATCAAGTGATCCAAGTTAGCTTAACCAATAATTATGCAAATTAACATTATTCACCCACACACAATGTACTGAGAAGATCATTTGTTTTCTTGAAGAAAGTAAATAATCTGAGTCAAAACATGAAGAACATTGTATATTCCCAATTTTAGGAATATTCTACTAAGGAACTGCTGTATAATCCTCAAAAGACAATGTTTGAAAAAGTACCAAAAGACATAGTAAATATTCCAGATGCAAGGAAACCAAAGATAGATGATATTAAATATAATGAGTAATCTTGCATTAGGTCCCGGGTGGGTAGTGGTGGAAAGAGAATACTGCAGATTAGGGAAAAGATCCATATCAATATTAAATTTTCTGAGTTGATTAACTATACTGTGTTTGGGTCAGTGAATGTCTTTTCTCTTGGTGAAAAAATGAGGAATTGGGGGGGTAAACGGGCATCAAGTCTACACTTTAATCCCAAATGGTTCTTGTATATAGTGAGAAACAGAATAAGACATGAATGAAAGAAATATGAGCGTTTGCTGGATCTGCATTGAAGTACATAGAAATTCTTTGCCTAATTCTTGACACATTCCTGTAAGTTAAAATGTATTTTGGGCTGGTCCCATGGCTCACTTGGGACAATGTGGCGCTGGTAGCGCTGAGGCCGCGGGATGGGATCCTATATAGGGATGGCTGGTGTGCTCACTGGCTGAGCGTGGTGCAGACTACACCATGCCGAGGGTCGCAATCCCCTTACTGGTAAAAATTTAAAAAAAAAAAAATTATTATATAATAAAGTATTCAAAAGAGAAAAGTTACAAATCTTGGGAAGCTGGAGAAGTTGTTAAATAGGAACAAGCATACAAACTTCCTCCCAGTTCATTTTGAGATAAGTAACTAATTTTCATTGATTCTCCAGTTCTGACCTTTTCATCACACTTCAGGCCTTCACAGACTGTCATTAAGGAATGGGAGGCAACCAGTCATGGGTCACAGAATTCATCCTGGTGGGATTCCAGCTCAGTGCAGACGTGGAGGTGCTCCTCTTCTGGATCTTCTCCCTGTTCTATATGTCCAGCCTGTTGGCAAATGGCACAATCTTGGGACTGATCTGTCTGGACCTTAGACTGCATACTCCCATGTACTTGTTTCTCTCACATCTGGCCATCATTGACATTTCCTACACTTCCAACAATGTCCCCAAAATGCTGGCAAATCTTATGAACCAGAAAAGGACCATCTCCTTTGTTCCATGCATAATGCAGACATTCTTGTCTTTGGGTTTTGCTGCTACTGAGTGTATGATCTTGGTGGCGATGTCCTATGACAGGTTTGTGGCCATCTGCCATCCTCTCCAATACACTGTCCTTATGAGCTGCAGAGTGTGCACAGTACTGTATGTCACTTCCTGGGCATGTGGATTCATCCTGGCCCTGGTAAATGCAATTTTCCTTCTAAAGTTGCCCTTCTGTGGACCCCAAAATGTCAACCACCTTTTCTGTGAAATTCTGTCTGTCCTCAAGCTGGCCTGTGCTGACACCTGGATCAACCAAGTGGTCCTGTTTGCATCCTCTGTGTTTGTCTTAGTCGTACCCCTTTGCTTAATGCTTGTCTCTTACATGCAGATCATCTGGGTCATCCTAAAGATCCAGTCAAAAGAAGGGCGCATAAAGGCCTTCTCCACCTGTTCCTCCCACCTCTGTGTGGTTGGGCTCTTCTTTGGCATAGCCATGGTGGTTTATGAAGAGCATGGTGCATGGTGGAGGAAACCTATATTCCCTTTGAGGATATCTAAATAATCATACACAGACTGTTGGTAGAAATACAGAGATTAAAAGTACTTCTGGTGAGGGCCAAGAAGGAAATAAACAATATTTGATTAGACCTAGAGCAAAGGAGACCTTTATGGCATCGTGGCACAAACTTAGCTAAATTGTCCCTGTATGTAGAAAGCAGACTTTATAAACAATGATCTTGAATATTTAGTTGTGTAGATTTCCAAGCAAACTGTTGAGATGGCTCCAATTTCTGCTTGTTTTTTACAGTAAAATGTGAGAGAAATGAGATAGGCTGAGGGACAAAAAAATATTTAAGCAAAGAAGAAACAGAAATTAATGATTTGGTATAATTTCCATCTATCTAGACTGCAGAAGATGCCAAAATTTAGAGATTAATTGCCAGGATGCATACACTAGATAGAAAGCCAAGGATTTTGCTAAACTTTTTTTTCTAGTGTTTCAAAAGAATCAACATTAGACTGTTCAATTACACAGAGGGTTCTCAAGAAATTAGTCATTTACTCACAGATTTCTTTACCATTCTCTGCCAAAGCCAATACTAGGAAGGTAGCCAGGATAGATCAATAGAGGAACCACTTGTCTAAAGGGGAATATAAAAGGTACATATTTGAGACAACCATACGATTTTTGAAAATACATCAGTAGAAACACTGCCAGATTGGGCTCACAGGGATAGAGAAAGGACAAAATGAAAGGAAACTATCAGACTTCCTAGATCTACTGGCAGGAAACAGCCTGATAATACTACAAAGCTGCAAACACCTGCTACCCTTCATGAAAAGGAAGTTGGAATTAGAGGCTAGAGAAACAGAGGGTTATTACCAGATCCTGAAACTCAGTAGAATATACACTGCTGGATTTGAACAGTTCTTGGGATGATACATTTCTTTCTCTTTCATTTTCTCTTTTCATGAATGAGAATGTTTGTTACTGGTACCCTTGGGAATAGATAACTCGTTTTCTTGATTCACAGGTTGACAGATGTAACAGAATTTTGCCCTAGGATGGATGACACTCAGAATCTAACCTATACATGAATTAAATGATGATATTGGAGACTTTTAAATAGTTGATATTTGAGTGAGACTTTATGTTTCAGTTGGTGATGTAATGAGTTGAGGCTTGAGAAGAACAGGAATGAGATAATGAAATTTGCATGGTATATAGACATCAGTATTTGGTGGGGCAGAGAATGATCTCTGGTAGACAGAATAATGTCTCCCAAAGATGTCCAGATCCCAATCCTGGAATTTCAGTATATGTTACTTTAAATGCCAAAAGGAATTCAAAGGTATGATTAGGTTAAAGATCTAGATGGTAATATTAACATGAATTATCTGTCTAGGCCTGATATATCACAAGGAGTTTCTTTTTGGTTTTGCTTTCATTTTCTTTTATTTTGTGTATAAGATGGAGGCAGGAGAATAGAGACAATGTTCTATACACTGCTTTTGAAGATGGAGGAAATTGACCATAATCCACAGGATGCAGGCAGCCTCTGGGAGCTGTATAGAGCAGGGAAGTAGATTCCCTTCCAATTCCTTCAGAATCCAAAAAGAACAGAACCTTACATACAGATTTAGACTTTGGACCTACAGAATTATAAGATAATAAATTTGAGTTGTTATAAGCCACTATGTTTGTGGTAATATGTTTCAGCAGCAACAGGAAAGAGAAATAAGGACTTTCCAAGATAAGCAAAAACAGGAAATTCAACACAATAAACTGTCCTCACAAAAAATGCTTAAGGGAGAGTTACAACTGAAAATAAAAGGATTATGATTGCTATCATGAAAACACATGGAAGTATAAAACTCAGAGGTATAGGTAAATTTATAATCATATTCAGAATACTTCAGGGATGTAATGGTGCTATTTAAATCTTTTAGCCCTCTAGTATGCAGGTTTAAACTCAAAAATGTCAAAAAACTTTAACAGCTGCAAGTCATGGCTAAGAAAAAAAAAATGAAGTTATATATTCAGGCAACAAATTACAAATTGTGGAAAGGTGAAATGTCTAGAGTACTTTTATGCAATCAAAGTTATGATTATCACCTTAAAATAGTCTATTACATCTAGCGGGCTCTTTATAGGAGCCCCATAGTAATGGGGCTAATCTAATCACAAGGAAAGAAATTGCAGTNAGATCATCTGGGTCATCCTAAAGATCCAGTCAAAAGAAGGGCGCATAAAGGCCTTCTCCACCTGTTCCTCCCACCTCTGTGTGGTTGGGCTCTTCTTTGGCATAGCCATGGTGGTTTATGTGGTCCCAGACTCTAATCAACGAGGGGAGCTAGAGAAAATGTTGTCCCTATTTCACAGTCTATTTAACCCAATGCTGAACCCCCTCATCTACAGCCTGAGGAATGCTCAGGTGAAGGACGCCTTCCACAGAACATTGCAGAAGATGACGTCCATGTGAGGCATGAGTGGAATGTTGGTTGGGTAGGGATTTCTTTCAAAAATATGTGGTTCGTGACTCAAATATCAGAAAAATTTTCCAATTACAAGCACTGTGAAAATCTGGCAAAATTACAGTAAAAAAAATTATATATTGCTATAATTTCTGGTATCTTCTTTACCCCTCCCCACTGAAAACAGTTTGTGGAGTTAGAACTCAGTCTCTGGATTAAATACCAAAGTTAAGGGTCACTTCCTTTTGCCATAGAAAAGCTATATTCCCCTATACTTGTATCAGGTTTTTGGCATTTTATTGCAAAATACGCAGTTTGAAAGAAAAGCAATCTAAACCCAAAGCAAGCAGATAGAATGAAATAATATAGGTTAGATTCAATATAATTGAAAGAGAGTAGAAAAACAATAAATAAAATCAATGAAAGCAAAAATTGGTTCTTTGGAAAGATTAACAAAATTGACAGCATTAGCTACATTGACCAACAAAAAAAGGGAGAAAGAACACACNTTTTAATTAAAAGATACAGAGTGGCTGAATAGACAGGAAAAACAAAACAAAACAAAACAAACAAACAAAGAAAAAACCAAGACCCAACCATATGCTTCCTACAAGAGATTTATCTCACTGTTAAAAAAAAACATAGACTGAAAGTGAGATGGAAAAAGATATTCCATGCAAATGAAAACCAAAAGTAAGCAAGAGTAGCCATACTTATGTCAGGTAAAATATATCCCAAGTCAAATAGTGCAAAAAGAGTCAAAGAAGGTTATTATATTATGATAAAGGGGTCAGTTCAACAAGAGAAAATAACAATCTTAAACATATATACACCCAACACTGGAGTATCAAAATATATAAAGCAGATATTATTAGATCTAAAGGGAGAGATACAGTGCCATACAGTATTAGTAGAAAATGGTAACACCCTACTGTGCACAGTGGTCCGATCTTCTAGGCAATAATCACCAAAGAACCATAGGACCTAGACTACACCACAGACCAAATAAACCTAACAGACATTTACAGAACATTCCATACAAACACTACAGAATACATGGTCTTCTCAATGGTGCATGGAACAGAATCCAGAATAGATCATATGTTAGACCACCCAACAAGTCATGACAAACTTAAGAAGACAGAAATAATATCAAGTAACTTTTTGGACAATGGTAGTATAAAACTAGAAATCAATAAGAAGAAAAACTCCAGAAACCTTAAAAATACATGGAAATTCAATAACGTGCTTTCAAATAATGACAGAGAATGACCACAGTAGTGTGTTGGCCTTGCAGAGGGAGAGAGCATTCTATGGGCTATAAAGGGGAGTGAGGAGCAATGGGGGAGGGGGAGGGACGTTGGAGATAATTGGCTGGGGGACATGGGGTACAAATGCAATTTGTGGTTATGGGTAAATAGCCAGTATGAATCTGGCCCCCACATCATAGTCATGAGGGTGACAATCAGCTTTGTATCTCATGAATATTCATAATCAGTAAGAAAAAAAAGAATTTATGCATGAAAAAATATAATGAATAGGGTAAAAGTGAAATTCGAAAGTTTCTTGAGACAATTGGCAATGGAAAATAACATAGTAAAATATATGGGACTCAGAAAAGCCATTCTAAGAGAGAAGTTCACCGCTATAAGTAACTACACCAAAAAATCATTATTATCATATAATTACTATTAATTAACAACCTAACAATGTACTTCCAAGAACTGGATAAACAAAAACAAACTAAAACCAAACGTGGTAGAGTGAAAGAAATAATTAAGCTCAGAGCAGAAATAAGGAAAATAGAAACAAAAAAAATAATAAAAACAATCAGCAAAATCAAGAGTTGTTTTTTGAAAAGATAACAAAATCAACAAACTTTTGTCTAGAATAACAAAAAATGAGAAACACTCAGATAAATAAAATAAAATCAGAGATGAAAAAGAAGACATTGCAACCAATATCACTGAAATACAAAGGACCATAAGAGGCTATTATGAACAAATATACACCAACAAATTTAAGAACATAGAAAACGGATAAATTCCTGGACACATACGACCTAAAAAGATAAGTTATGAAGAATTAGAAAATATGAAAAGGAAGATAACAAGCAAGGAAGCAACCACTCATCAGTAGTCTTCCAACAAAGAAAACCAGAAAATGATACTCCACTGCTGAATTCTACCAAAAATTTAAAGATTTAATTCTCCTCAAACTGTTTCAAAATATTAAAGAAGAGGGAATATTTCCAAACTGATGATGAGGCCAGCATTATCCTGATTCCAAAACCAGACAAGGACACCACAAAGAAAATTATAGGCCAATATCCCTGATGAACACAGATGCAAAAACTCAGAACAAGATATTAGCAAACCAAAATTAATAGCACATCAAAAAGATCGCTCATTATGATCAAGTGGAATTAATGCCAGGAATGCCAACATGGCTCAACATACACAAATGAATAAATGTGATACACAACATTAGCAAAAAGAAAGAGAAAAACTATAGGATCATTTCAATAGACACAGAAAAAGCATTTGAGAACACATTTCTTCATGATAAAAACTTTTAACAAATTAGGTATAGAAGGAACATACCTCAATGCAATAAAGGCCATATATGACAAACTCACAGCTAACATATAGAAGATATAAAGCCAAAGATTTTCCTCTAAGATTAGGAACAAGAGAAAAATGCCCGCTTGTACCAGTCCCATACAACATAGTGCTGAAAGTCCTAGCCATAGCAATTAGGCAAGATAAAGAAATAAAAGTCATCCAAATTGGAAAGGACAAAGTCGAATTTGCCCTGTTTGCAGACATGACTTTATATGAAGAAAATCCTAAAACTGCAACTAATAAACATATTTAATAAAGTTGCAGATACAAAATCAGCATACAGAAATCAATCGTCTTTCTATATGCTAATAGCAAACTATATTTTAAAAAATCAAGAAAGCAATCCCAATTACATTAGTAACAAAAACAAAAAATAAAATACCTACGAACAAAGTTAACCACTGAGGTGAAACATCTTTACACTAAAAACCATAAAATATAGATGAACAAACAGAGGACACAAATAAATGAAAAGATATGCCATGTTTATGGATTGAAAGAATTAATATTGTTAAAATAGCCACACTACCAAAAACACTACAGATTTAATGTAACCCTATCAAAATATCAATAACATTCTTCACAGAAATAAAAGAAAAATCCTAAAATGCATATGGAATCACAGGAAAAATGAAATAGCCAAGGAAATCCTGAGCGAAAAAAAGAAAGCAGGAGGCATCACGCTACCTGATTTCAAAAGAGACTACAAATCTCTAGTAACCAAAGCAGCATGGCAATGGCACAAAAACAGACACGCAGACCAATGGAACAGAAGAAAGAGCCCAGAAATGCGTTTATGCACCTAGAGCCAACTGATTTTCAACAAAGGTACCAAGAAACACACACTGAGGAAAAGATAATCTCTTCAGTAAAGGGCTGGGGAAATTGGTTAACCACATAAAGAACAGAGATTAGATCCCTCCTCTTACTATATATAAAAAATCAACTCAAAATTGAGTAAAGGCCTAACTGTAAAACCCAAAACCATTAGAAGACAAAATACAGGCAACACTTTACAACACTGAGCTGGGCAAGGATTTTTTAAACAAGGCATCAAAAGTGAAGATGACAAAACATTAAGTAAACAAATAGATTACATCAAACTAAAAAGATTTTTGAAGAAAAATGGAAATAATTAATAGACTGAAGAGAGAACCTACAGAGTGGGAAACAATATTTGCAAGCTCTACATCTGAGTAGGGGTTAATATCAAGAATATATAAAGAACTTAAATGATACAACAGCAAAAAAACAAACAACCAAAATTGAAAAATGGCAAAAAGCCTTGTTAGATATTTCTCAAGACAGTTAAATGGCCAACGGGTACATGAAAGCATACTCAAAATCACTAATCATCAGGGAAATACAAATCAAAACCACAATGAGATACCATCTCACTCCAGTTACAATGTCTATTGTCAAAAAGACAAAATAAAATAAGAATTGGAGAGGATGTGGAAAAAAGGGAACACTTACACACTATTAGTAGAATTGTAAATTAGTACAGCCACTATGAAAATCAGTATGGAGGTTTCTCAAAAAAGGAAAAATAGAAGTACCATGTGACCCAGCAATCCCACAACTTGGTATAGATTCAATGGTAATAAAATCAGTATGTCAAAGAGGTGTCTGCACTCCCATGTTTACTGCAGCACTATTTACAACACCCTAGATATGGAATCAACCCAAGTATTCAACATGGATGAATGCACAAAGAAAATGCGGTAGATATACATAATGGAATACTATCCAGTCATAAACAAATCCTGTTATTTGTGACGACATAGATGTACCTGGAGGACATCATGTTATGTGAACTAAGCCAGGCATGAAAAGACAAATGCCACATGATGTCACTCACATGTGGGGTCAAAAAGAAAAAAATAAACAAAAGTTGATATTATAGAGGCAGAGAGTAGAGCAGTGGTTACCAGAGACTGGGGAGAGGAGGAGGTTAGNACTGAGGGTTGCGATCCATTGCCGGACACGGAAAAAAAGACAAAAGACAAAAAAAAAAAGAAAAGCCATTCTAAGAGAGAAGTTCACAGCTATAAGTAACTACACCAAAAAATCATTATTATCATATTATTACTATTAATTAACAACCTAACAATGTACTTCCGAGAACTGGATAAACAAAAACAAACTAAAATCAAACGTGGTAGAGTGAAAGAAATAATTAAGCTCAGAGCAGAAATAAGGAAAATAGAAACAAAAAAAAATAATAAAAACAATCAGCAAAACCAAGAGTTGTTTTTTGAAAAGATAACAAAATCAACAAACTTTTGTCTAGAATAACAAAAAATGAGAAACACTCAGATAAATAAAATAAAATCAGAGATGAAAAAGAAGACATTGCAACCAATATCACTGAAATACAAAGG